AATAGGACTTTATCCCTTAAATGCCTCAAAGGAAGACCCCAAAAGCCGCAGTGCGACCCGGCCTGACAGCCGCGGCTGGGCCTGGTGAGGTGCACGGAGCTGCCCTCCTGAGAGCTTCCGGGGCTTCCCGTTCGTTGGACTGTTGGGTTTCTTGAAGGGCTCCTTAACCGGATTACTGCAACGCTTACTCTAAGGCTATAAGGCTTCAGTGATGTGGTTATTGATTTAGGGTTGGTGGTTTTCAGGGGACTTGCTGGCGGCTTTGGGGTCTAGGCTTTGGGATTCTCCGGTGTACGCAGACAGCCTGAATGCAAAACCACCTCCCGTCTTAGGCTGCTCAGGCCTAAAAAAAATGAACCCTACAACCCCAGACACGCAGACCTAATGAGCTCAGAGCTTCATCTCACAAGCTTCGGGTTTAGGTTTGCTCTGCGACGGAGGCCATTGTAGGATCCCACATTGTCTTACTTGTCGGGCATCATAGGGAACTAAAGGTTAACTTTTGTGGTTATGTAAGGACTATATAGGGACTATGCTACCCCAAAAAGGTCAAAAGTTACCTACTCTACTACTAAGTTGTCAGAAGCCCCCACAAACCTCCTTCATTACTTTACGGGCAGGAGCACGGGTATGGAAACCCCAGCAATGCGTGAAACCCTGGGTTTCCTAGGTTCCATGGGCGAGAAGGTTATATCATGCCTCGGGTTTCGCATGTTGGTGAAGGGTTTTGTAGGATTTGATGCATCTAATGGGTTCTCGAGAGGGTTCTACAGAGCTTGAGCTGCAGGTTTGGGGTAAGGACACTGAGCAAGTAGGACCTTTGCAATTGCGAGTATACGGACCAAGACAAAAGATGTCTTCTGCTGGATCTGGTATAGAAAGCCTGTAGGAAAGCCTTTCGAGGCCTGTGCATTGAAGCAGGATGTGCACTTTTCCAATGGCTCTGCAGAAACTCCTCTGACACATTGGCGCTGATACGAATGGAACTTGTAGTTCGCTGATGGTTTTCACATAATTCTAAGTTATAATCCAATTAAGTCCCATGATCCTCTAAGTGAGACTGCGTTAGTTTCCAAGGTACAGTATCAGAAATCCTAGCACTAATCATCCTTAAACCATGCTTCAATTTTCTAGGGTTCACTGTAGACTACACACACGGTTCAAATCAGAACATTAGGGTTTGACGGGACGGCCGCAACATCACCAAGAGTTATTGCGTGACTCCGTCTTGTTCTGGCTGTAGCCCCAAGACTTCTTCCACTTGTTGCTGCTCCCTGCATGCTGCTGCTCATGGTGCCAAACATCATGGTCTTTCTGATCCCATGCCCACTTGTCTCCTGGCCTTTCCAGGAAAAGCTGGACTCTTTGCTGTTCCCTGCATGCTGGTGCTGTTCATGGCACCAACCACGGTCTTTCTGATCCCAAGCCCACTTGTCATCCTGGCCTTTCCAAGAAGAGCTGGACCGACTCCCCTGGTCGCCTTCGCATTCACGACTGTTATTGGCCGTCCAAGGCTCGTGGGCCGCATCTGGGTGGGAAGTCCTAACAGGACCTCGCCAATGCTGCCATTCACTTCCCACCGGCACACAGAAGGTGCCAGTGCGGGTCTTATTGAAAACCCAACCCTTATCACCTGCAAGCTTGAGGAATTCAGGAAGACGGTGCGCTCTCTGCCCGGCCACTCCTCGATCGCATCGAAAACTTCTCCAAAGCTCAGGAAGCCCACCACTCCCTTTTTTTGCATTATACGCTCGCTCCTGATGTCCATGCCGGGGCGCCATACGCACCTCCAGTGCATGGGCTTGGGATCCTCAGGAACCTCCTGCACCTGTGACAAGCCTTCAACTTCTCCCATTTCCTTGGCCTTGGCCCCAACCCTGGCATAAAGATGCTTCAGGAGCGACTCGGTAATGGCCTTTCGGCTTGGCTCCATCTATTCGTCGGAAGCCGACATGGGAGAGTCCACCATATTCGGGGATGGCGGTGTACGCGTCTCCGGGAATGGCGGTGTACGCGTCTCCGTCTCGCTCTCCTCTGCATCTTGCACCAATAGCTGCCTCAAGCTTTGCCTCCACGGCTTCCACCCGCTGCGTCTGGGCAGCCAGCTGTCAGTGGAGCTCTGTCACCTGGCTTCCCTGCTGCTCATATTCCTGGACCATGGCGACCACTTGATCGCGCAGCTCGTCGAACATCGCCGCCACTCTCTGCGCCAACATTGTGGCACGGAGCGGTACGGACTTGTGCCGCGCGGCACACCTCTGGTAAAAACCCTGTCAGCCAAAAGGCTTCTTCAGGCACGTGCGTCAGCCTTCAAGCATCAAAGCAGCCTACCCTTGTAATGAGATCCTTGCTATGTCCGACTCATCAGCCCGACACTACAAGAGCTTCTTCCCGAGCCTCCTCAAGGCGGGTAGTCGAATCTACCGTTCTAGTGCTCCTACACGTACACTGCAATATACCCCCAAGACATGTTTAGAATCATGGTTTAGGCTCCAGGCTGCCCCTTTTTTTTCGACTACTCTGAGTCCCAACTCGTAGCCATTGTGAGTCTTGCTGGAGGGTTTGTGTGTGTGATGATGTATCCTGAGGGCTCGTCTTTCGGAACCATGTTTTTAGCTACTTGGAGCCTTCAAACCGCACCTCCACGAGACCGCAGCTATAGCAATCTTGGAATCCAGAGGTTGAGCGCTTAGGGAGATTAGCCTTGAGAGAGTTTGAGAACTTTCGGCAGGTCTAGGGGAGTTTGGGAGTTCAGGGCTTCGAGAGTCTGATGTTGAGGCTGTAGGGGTTTAGGATTTAGGGTTTAGGGTGAATTAGATTATCTCGCTTACTTTGATTTATGCAGTCGACCGTTGCGTCCTCCAGCATGAAGGGGGCTCGGGCCGTATCCTCTGACATCATTGCAGGCGCCCGCAAAGTCAGAAGGCCAAGAAGCCCTGCTGTTCCGCTATTCCATGCTCAAGCCCGGAAACTTCAAATCGCCCGTCATGAAAGATATGTTAGAAAGGTTCCTTTGCCAAGGGATTTGGAACTTTCCAGCATTGAGTTTCCTTTGTGCCTATCACACGATGCTGTCAGTAGGTATCCACTGGAAGACTACTTCGGAAAAGCTGCAGTGTCTGTCTTGAGCCGCATGCACAGGCGCGGAACAGATAAAGCCCAGCGCGGGAATGCCAAGCACACACGCCAAACCTGTAAACCCAACTGGTGAACTGAAATCAGAAGTTTTACTTCTGAAATGTCAGGTCCAAACCCAAACCACAGATCTAAAACAGATAAAGCTTGCTTCCTGAACCCTCTACAGCAACCCCATCCCTGTCTAGGGCAGGGCTGAAGGTGTAAGGCGTTTAGGGCTGCTACCATCATCGTTCTTGTACATGGCTACTCTGCTTCATCTCGGAACCTTTCCGGTCCACAGTACTGTCATAAAGAAGCCTCCAACAGTCTCGAGCTCCAAGGTCCCTTCAGGTGAGGGTTCCGGGGCCTTCGCCGCATCTGAATCTGCTACCAGTGGTTTCTTGCTGCGGATGTCCTGCGGCCGTAACATTCGGACACCAGGTCGTTTCAGAGCCAAGGAAACGATGCGTCGGGGGGTTTCGTTAGTCAGGGATCCCATATGATCCCAGAGTAGGATACTCGTCGGAATGATCCACTCATTCATGACTGCTGGAAACTCTTTCCCATTTGCCGGGTTCGGTGGCCCACCCAACAAGGTTTACCTGTCAACTATGGTAGGTCTACACATTGAAACCCAGTAGGTTGAAGGATTATGTGTGAAAGTGATTGAGCCCCCTCCAGCAAGGGTGAACAGAGGGAATCTAAGACTCAAGCTAATAAGGAAGCTGATTTGTGTTCAGAGGTCTACATCCCCCACTCAGCTGTGATGTGATGTAAACACATTGAAACCCAGTAGGTTGAAGGATTATGTGTGAAAGTGATTGAGCCCCCTCCAGCAAGGGTGAACAGAGGGAATCTAAGACTCAAGCTAATAAGGAAGCTGATTTGTGTTCAGAGGTCTACATCCCCCACTCAGCTGTGATGTGATGTAAACTACGGGATTTTCCTATTTCGGGTGCTTCGGGGCCTAATCTGATATACAGAGGCCTCAATAAACAGAAGAGGGCTGTGGGATACATTATGGCACAAGGCTAAGGAATGGAAAGGAAGACAGTTGGAAAAGATTCTTTATTCGTCCTTAAGATGTACAAACTGGCTGCTCCCGCCGTTTTTCATAGTTGTACAAAGCAAGGACACGGTTGAATTTGGAGAAAGAGAGAGGAGAGGAGAGAGAGAGAGAGAGAGACTGTGTTGGGGAGGAGTTATCAAACATGCAGTAAAGGCTCCCATAAGAGTTCTTTAAGGGTATTGCCGGTATTGCTGACTACTGGTATACAGGTACTGAGCACGTCAGAGTTAGGGAAATTTCGGGAGCGAAACAGCAGAAGGAAGACATCGTAACACAGACAGAACGAGAGCGAGGCAGTAAACAAAACCTAAAGAAAGAGAGGGAGGGACAGATGAGCACAGGCAAATAAAGCAAGTTAACAGACGGTCACAGGCAAATAAAGCGCGTTAACAAACGGTTGCCCAGACAGAGAGACTGAGAGAAGCAGACAAAGATCAAAGGAGAAACGTGCCAGGGGGCAGCCATGCGGACAAACAGGTAGGCAGATATGCCTAGGTGCGTATGTGCGCGTGCGCTGTCTGGGGTGTGTTGGGGGAAGCTGTGCGAACAAGAAAAACCAAACCAAATCCCCGTCGAACAGCACTTCGATTTGCTGCATGTGCGGGTAATGTAAGGGCCTTAATAATTAGAATAGGTTTTGGGGGCGTATAGTTATAGTATACTATACCCCCCAAGCCCTATTCTAATTATTAAAGCCCCTATACTATATAGTACCCTTATAGATCCCTTATAGACCCCTTTTAAGGATCCCTTTAAAGGAACCCAAAACCCTATTCTAATTATTGTTGCCGGTCACGCAACCAGGGATGCCGGCCTGCTCACCCAAAAGACTTCGCAGCCGATCGGCCAGCCTGAGAGGGACCCCCAAAAGAAGGTACCCCTGAACCCTAGGCCCTTATAGATCCCCTATAGAACCCTTAAAGGAACCCTAGGACCCCAAAATAGGGTGCTGATTCTGACCTGCTACAGTGCCATGTGAGTCGTCATAACGCTAATTTAGGGGCCTTCATCATTAGAATAGGGTTTGGAGCCCATAATCCTATAATTATAACAAGGCACCCCCAAAAGAGTATACGTACTTATCCAGGCCCCTATAGTCGAAGCTGCTCCCAAAGGTGGTCCGTGTGGGTGAACTGACAAGCCCTAGGGCCCCAGTTACCCTAATAGTAGGTTACTAACCACATATTATATGCCCCAGTAACCTACTATTTAGGTAACTGGAGCCCTACGGAAGTTCATATCCATCTCTCAGAAAGCTTTAGTTTGGCCTGGCTGGCGAATGGTCTCGGGCTATGCGCTCAGAGACTCCAGTTTCTTGACTACTTCCTTTGCAAATCATATCAGGGCTGCTTCCTGCAGAATTCTTCGCTCTGGGAAGCAACTTCCGTGGTTGGAAACGAACGTCAAATGCATCCGTTCACCTTGCTGTTTCGTCTCTAGCAGCAGTTCACCTTGCTGCTTCGCTCTAGCACCTACAAGTCCTCTCAGATGGTCCTGTTCCAGCTCATTGTTGCGAGTGGGGGCCATTTTCTAGCACGGGCACATGTGCGAACGTCAAGTTTCAAGATGCCAAGCATTCCATACATGGTAGAATACTGACGCTGTGGCATTCGGGCGAAGGAGCACAAGCACAGTCATGCATCACGAACAAGGACCACTCCGATATGAACTCCTCCAGTCCTGTCAGACTTGGTGAATAGGCTGGCGGTTGCTACTGTTTTTTCAATCTTATTGTTACCTTACGAAGATACAGTTTAGAAGGGGTATAATAGGAATATAATAGGGCCCTAATATAATCCTTATAGTCACTGTTACAGGGTGGGGGCAGCTTCTAAGTGATTCCTTAATTTCCAAGTAAACGCCCCAAATCCCAAGCTCCCTGGGCAAGTGATGGCTGACTGGACTTCATTCGTAGTTGTGATCTGTTCAGTCGCCAAGTGTCTCGCTTCGTGACAGTCTGCACGACCGATTGCAGATAATTATATCCTAAACCCCTGGCCCTATCCCCCCCACCTCATCCCTCATAGTAGTCCTTATAGGAACCCTTACAGGAACCCTAAAACCCTCAAATCCCAAACCCTCCCCCCACCGTTTGAGCCCAACAAAGCTCCTACGGAACCTTGTTGGAACCCTCATAATAACAGTGACAAAACCCTTTTAAGACCCTGACAGTTTACAACACAAAAACAAAACCTGAAAGCCTGGTACAACCCGTTAAAGCCAAAAGCCAAAAACAAAACCCAACGCCCTGCACCCTACATAAACCCTCAACCCCCTAAACCCTAAACATCCCTAAACCCTAAACCCTACCCTTCACGGGCCCCTGCACACCCCGAGCCTGGCCACCGAGAGCCCGCTGCGAGGCACCGCGGCCACCAGGCGAGGGACCGGCTCCTGGTCTCTTTGGGGCCCCATACAGGAAAGTTTAGGGATCTATAGGGGTTCCTTTAAAGGAACCCGGTTAGCAGAACCCTTGCCCATTCTGGGTGATACTGCCACCAGCCACACAATTGGTCGACTACTTCAATAGTGTGCCCAGACACACCCCCTACATGTCGCGGAATTCTCGCTACTGCTACTGCGTTACAAGACCAAGTGTCTGACTTACTCAGTTGGGGTTAACGGTTCCTCATAGGAGTTCTTTGCCTGTGCTTGACCACAGCACGCTGCAACCAATCTTTTGCTCAGAGAACATTTAAGCCTTTGCACAAGTCCCACAACAGTCGTGCCCATTCCGGGCAAGCAAGGGCAATCATGTAGTTGCCCAACGCCACTCGCGCTGCTTCCAGAGAGTTAGCCTCGCCAATTTCTGGCACCACCATGAATCGTGGGACCACGCCTGCTTTGCGCAGCTCCGGAAGCTCGCAGCGTTGAAAGATGGTATGTTTTTCTGCTTTGCCAATAAAGACCCAAGCGTCAAACCCAGGCTGACGACTAGCGTTTGCAGCGAATGCTGTGCTGATCGCTTGCCAAAAAAACCTCTGGGACTCCCAGTTGTAGCAGCTCAAAGAGTCGTGAAATGCATCCAGAGTAGACCCCAAGTCGGTCTTTTCAAGACTGGTGCCTTTGCAGGTTTCGGCTTGTTTCTTTGCGGATTGGCCGCTCCAAAAGATCAGCGGGCCATCACATGGTTTTGCAACAAGAAGGGGCAGCAGCAGGGTTGCCATTGCACGGAATTCTGAAAGGCAGCCTGCTTCCTTCCCAGATGCGGCCAAGTTTAAACCAGAGATCATATGGCAAAATATCTTCGAAGCGTCACATCGCGAAATCCCGGCGCTTGATAAACGCATGACAAATCTGGAACGCATCTTCTTGTAACCCTTCTTTGAAGGCCCAGATCTGCATGGATATTTGCCCACGTCCTGCTGCAAAGCTTCTTTCCTAGCCCAGGCAACGGCTTGACAAGGAATCGCAATTACACGACTGGTTGCAACTGCTACACTCCAGGCCAGCCAGCAAACTTTGTGAACCACTGCATCAGTGGTAGTTCTTGCTTGTGCCTTCGTCAACAAAACGACGTGGCAGAAACTCTCCATCACAGCATTGAATGCGTCTTCGATGGCAGCTAAGGCCGATACTGAGACGTGGGAGAAACTTTCCATGACGGCTTTGGTTGCCCATTCGATGGCCGCTCTGGCCAGTATAACGACGCGGCAAAAATTCTCCCTCACAGCATTGATTGCCAATTGGATGGGAGCATTTGCTGGTAGCACAAAACGGCGCCAAATTTCAATCACGGCATTGATCGCCAACTGGACGGCAACCCATGCAAATATAACGACACGGCACCATCTCTCCATAACAGCACTGATCGCATTTCTTGGCATCCTAGCTGGCCAGTGCAAAACCTCTGCGGCAGTGTAGACTGCAGCTGCCGCGGCAACCGCGAGTATGCCCAACTGAACGGCATTCCTGGCAAAGCCCACGTTGTCTAGCCATCCCGCTTGGGTTGAACGGCTCAGGCTTAGGTACGCCAGCAACTCTGCAGGTGCGGGATGGCAAGGCCCGTTGACGGCTTTGTTGCACAACCAAGGCCCATGCACTTCTACTTCGATCGTCATGGCTGAAGTCTTGGTGAACTTACGCGTGTTAAGAATGAGCTTCATCTTACCCAAAATGCCCTGACGGTGCTTCATGTTGCAAAGTTCGGAGCTGAACCTGTGGAAATCAGAGGGTTATCTGCCGCACTGCCTCATAAAGGATCGTCTGCACTGTAATGCCCGTCTCATTTCCCATGTTATGCTAAAAATATTCCAATTACAGTCCAGCGTGACAATAATGTTTTTGATATGGTGAATCGAAAAGCGCTCAGTTTGTCCTGGCATTTTGTGTCTGGTTTTTGCGAGCAGCGTGGCATAGTCGGCAAGAAAGATCCCTAAACCCGAAACCCTAAACCCCAAACCCCACTTGCTAGCCCCCTCTACCCCTAAAAGCTCTAAGTAAACCCATTCCGCGAAGAATCCTAGCGTGGACGACGACTACTCGCCTCCTGTGTGGGAGGGGGTAGGTTTAGGAAGGGTTTTTGAGGGAGGGCTGATTTTAGGAGGGCTTTGATTTCAGGGAGGGTTGGTTCTGTGGGCGGGGTCGTAGGTGTGTCTTCTTCAGGGTCGTTCAGGGTTTTTCTGGGTTGTTGTGTTACTTGAGTGTGCCTGTGCATGTGTTTGTGGCTGGTGATTGCCTTTGTCTTCTGTTTTGGGTTGGGTTGGGATATCTCTCAAGAGCTTGAATAGCTACCAACAGCAATTTAACGGCCAACGAGTCGGGGTTTCTCGGTTTCAGGATTCGTTTGCCGTAAAATCCGTATTTTTTTCCAAAAATCAGTTTTGAGACAAATAGTTTTGGTTTGTGGTTTTCTTTATTCGTTTAAGAAAAACTACACCACATATTGTAGGAACACACAAACAAAAACAATCAAACACAATAAAAAACACAAAAAAATGCAACATAGTCAGCATGATCACGGATTTTTGGATCAGTCCTCAAACCTTTAACAGCTCAAATCGCAAATATGATCTGTCAAAGCATTCTATATAATAGAAATTCTGACCCAATTTCTTATCAATTCTCTCAATGGTGTAAATATTCTGCGAACAGTTACTCACCCTTTCTTTTTCGTTAGGCTGCCGTTTCCGGAAGATCTTAACCTCATCGCCACATTCAGATCAGGATAAACACGATTCCGTTTAGCACCAGCGCTCAAATTCATTTTCACCTTCAGTTCGTTACTCGGTTTTCTGGCATCCTTCGGCGTGAATCCTGAAGCCGAGTGTTTCATTTTATTATTTTATGTTAATAATATGTCAAAAATGTAATCGGTCCACTGAATGTTGTCCTTTTTCTTCTCATCCGCCTCAACACGGCGATATAACAAATCTTTAAATGTTCTTATGGCTCTTTCGCTGAAGTTAGGATGTGCTCTCGTTCTATGGTCTCGTTCTATGGTGTTCTATGCCTTGATCTTGCAAATACTTTTGTATGGACTCAATGTTCAATGCTCCCTCGTCATCTGAATAAACTTGTTTTGGCTTCTTTCCCATTTTATGTAAGCACTCAATCATCCGACTTGTTACATCGCCCTCGTGTTTACTTTTAATAATAGCCACTACGTGCATGAACTTGTCAAAAATATCAATCATAAGCATTCCGACCTTAAATTTTTGATCTTTCAAGTCGTTTATAAAGAATAAGTCCATCTGATACTCATAGGCTGAATGGGGAGCGACAAAGCTGTTTGAACCTACGTGCTTACGCTTTTGTTCAACATTTTTCCTGAAAAACTCATTGATATCGCCCATAGTGATGGTTTTGTCTTTCTCCCGTGCTTCTGCTAATGTTCTCTGTTTAGATCCATACCCGGCCCGATCAACATACACATCACTAATGGTTTTTTGTTTCTCGCTCATATAAACTAACAAAGAAAAATTACTTAATATTGAAATTAAATCATCATTCAGCCATCGGCATAATTATTTTGCATTTACTCATATCGTATTTTGGTGCACCACGCTTTGGTCTCAACGGCTTTCTCGCATTCGTTATTTCCGATAACCCCTCTTGAGTAATGTACTTTGGCTCTAGCTTGATATTGTTCACTTCTTCATGCTCCTTGATCTTCTTCTTCTGAAGGTGTCGTTGCGCGGCTTCCCTCTTTTCTGCATATACTGCTCATCGCTATTCCGCTTGTGGCAATACAATCTGTTGTGTATAGCTAGTTGTTCTTTGATTTCGTCCATTGTCATATCCTCAGGGTTCTTACTCATATTATTATACTATACTGTATATTATTTCATTTCTTTAGATCAATTATATCTAAAAACATTTAAAAGTATTAAACAGATCTTTGGAACAATACACTTAAAAAGAAGAGTAATATATAGTTTAATTATATTGGTATATGAGTAAGAGCATAAAACGAAATTTAGATGCACTTCAAACCTTCTACCAGAACAGAAGAAATCGCATCAACCAATCCACCAGAACGCAGGTGCAAAACATAATAACCTTGTACTCAGATCGTAAGAACGCCCAATTCACCACAGCAGACAACCTAATCAGAAAACTCACCACTGCAAAAACGGAGAGAGAAAAATGAAAAACGGAAAAAGACTACAACAAGATCTACGACAAACACAAGGACAAAGAACAATTAAACCGGAGAATGGCAGAAGCCAAAGAAGACAACAAGAGAACAGGAAGAACAAACCCAAGAAAACCCAGAACTTATTCAATCAATGTTCATTTATAATTACAGACTTGAGACCGAAGCAGACAAGGGCGTATTATCTACATCCTTCAGAGACAGCAGGGGCAGGGAATACATTCCAGTGTATGTTAACCATTTAACCGCACATGAAAAGGGGCGTCAATAACCGATATGGCCAATGTGTTTGAGCATTATAATATGCAGGTCAGAATTTATGATGCCTTTGAGAATCTCACTTGTAAACACGACCCTGTAAAAAGAGACCGCCACATCCCAGCCTTGTATGCTATAGTGAAGAACAGTCATATCTACACAGCCAGTGATAATTGAATATGTTACGGCAGATGCTAGCCAAAACATCCAGTAATTACGATATTATCACCTTAACGAGAAAGAAGAACCAGTAGAGTGTAAAATGATCACATCCCTAGATGACATCCGGAAGAACACAGAACATAGCGAATACACCTTAGTTTATGACGGTTATGACTTGTCACATCTGTTTTATCTTAGCAAGGAATCGGCAAGGAAGCTGAATATGAACCGCAAGTTAAATTTAGTGCAGGGTGCGTGTCGGAAAGTAACTTCAAGTTCAAGATCAAGATAAGCCAATAAACACAAAAAGTTATCAAATACAAGGTTAAGACCCAGAACTTAGTAAATACTCTATACATGGTTCCATCTGCGTGAG